AGTACACAACATATCATAGATCAAATTGCCGACAAATGACACATAAGACATAGCCTTACACTCTTGCTCCTCATCTATCTTTGACGATTGCTTCTTGGAGAACTTGAAGTGACTTCCTAAAGGAGTGCATGTAGGCTTTGCATAATAAACTCTGAATATGTCCATCACCTTCTCAATGTATTTTTCTTGAGGTAACTTTAAAAAAATTTCAAATTTATCTCGTGTGATCCTCATCCTAAGAATTTGATTTGTTGCTCCCAAGTTCTTCATTTCAAACTCCTTTGACAATTGCTGCATTAGTCTGTTGAACTCCCTCATGCTAGATCCTGCAATGTGCATACTATCCACATACCATAGTAAAATAATATAGCAGTCATCAAATTTCTTGAAGTAACGTTAATAATCCATTCCACATCTAGTGAACCTATTACTCCATATAAATGTGTCAAATTTCTTGTACCACTGTCTAGGAGTTTGTTTCAAACCATACAGACTTTCCTACATTTTGTAGACATAGTAATTAGCTAGGAATCTAAAAACCTTTTAATTGTACCATGTAGATCCTCCTCTAAGTCACCATGGAGAAATACAGTTTTTACAAATAACTACTCTAGATTTAAATTCTTAGCAGCAACAATACACAACACTAGCTTGATAATAGTTAACTTACAAGCATGATTTGTTCCCAATTCCTTCCTTTTGTTCAAAACCTTTCGATACTAACCTTGCTTTGTACCTCTTGCTGCCATCCAATTCTTCCTTGACCGTGTACACCAACTTGTTCTGCAATTCCTTATGCCTATCTGCTAACTGAGTCAACACCTAAGTTTCGTTATTTTCGAGTGAATCCAACTCATCCACTTACCAACTCCCACTTAACAAAATCTTTAACCTGCATTGCTTTTGAAAACTATTATGATTTGCCAGCATAAGTTAAAAGCAAATAATGTAATGATAGAGGATACCTTTGTACAAGTGGAGATGTTCCACTAGATCTTCTTAAAGTGAGTTCACGTACAGGTGTTCTCGTTTTGGTTCTTGATCAAACACTACAACAATACTTTCGAGATTCTCAACGAAAATACTCTTAGAAGCCATCTTCTATTCAACTCCCTAGTCTCCTCCATTTTTTCCTCATACTAGATTTTACCGCAGATTTGTCATTGTACAGAATATTTTCATTCAATGTAACATCATTAGTTCTTATTATTTTCCTATTTTGTTTATCCCCAAACCAATGGCTAAAATAATCAGAACCATATATGATGAAAAAACATTTTATGGCATTTGTATCAACCTTGTCCATATTTTCAAAATTTAAGTGCACATATGAAACACAACCAAAAACTTTAGGGAGAAGAACGCTAGAAATACCAAAAATTGTATACGGTGCTCACTTTAGTGCCAAAATTTTTAGGGATCACTTAAGTGCCAAATCAGAGAAAAATTATCATTTAAGTGTCAATTCCGCCAAATTGATTGCGTGGCATTTAAAATTAAAATTATGAATATGTATTGTATATTTTTTTAAAAATCTAATCCACGTGGACATTCAAAACAATGTCGCACAATCCGACTAGCATGGAAGTAATCGCTTTTTAATAACGATTGGCACCTTTGAAGTGATCACTTTAAACAAAATTTGGTACTCAAACGACCACTATTTACAACTTTTAAACAACGTCGTTTAAGGGTTATATGCTTATTGGGCACACCGGCGAGCCATGCAAGATTGAGAAATTAATAAAATATGGCGACATTGGATTTCCAGCGACTTAGATCGGAGTTGGCACTTAAGCGATTGTTTTTTTAAAAAATGGCATTAAAGTTATCTGAAAAAAACCTTTGGTACTAAAGTGAGTGCCGTACCAACTTTGGCACTTCTAGTATTTTCTTCCAAAAACTTTAAGATACGAGATATTCACCTTCTTCTAGTCCATTCTTCTTTTGGTAGCTTGAAATCAAGTAAAATTGAAAGTCCTTTGTTGATCAGGTGTGCCGCTATGTTAAATGCATTTGCCTAAAACGTCTTGGGTAATATTACATGCATCCTTGTACTTCTTGTACGGTCATTCAGAGTTTATTCATCATTTCAACAACTCCATTTTGTTGTGGTCTGTTAGGATTTGTTTTAGTCATTCTGATTTCATGTTTTGCACAAAGCTCCTTGAAATCCTTGCTATCATACTCGCCACCATTGTCAAACCTTATACCTTTAATCTTTAGACAAGTTTTATTCTCCACTTCAGCTTTCCATCTTTTAAAAGTAGCAAACACATCAGATTTATTTTTTTCAGAAAATAAACTCATACCTTCCTATTGGAGTCGTCAATGAACCTGATATAGTAGCGAGAGCCTCTAAGGGAATGCACAGGGGCTGGTCCCCAGACATCTTTATTTGGTTTCTTCCAGTCTGGAAAAAACTTACACATTATGCTTACCAAGAACCAATCTTCGCATAGACCAATCTCTATGGAGTTAAATTAGACAAATTTCCTTCAAACACCCTCATCCCCTTTTTGCTTATGTGTCTGAGCCTACGGACCACAATTTGGCATCGAGTTCTAAGTTAGCAACTGCTACTATTTCTTTATTGTTTTCAAAGTGTACAATAATCACAACTTCCACAAGGCGTCCCTTAACATAGTTATATATCCTCTGATGTTAATTGACCTATAGAGATTAGATTTCTCTTAAGGCCAGAAACATACCTGACATAATGCAACTTCCATTAAGACTCGTTGATATTTTTTATATGAACATCGCCCTTCCCCATAATATCTAAAGGTTCATTATTAGCAAGATAAACCTTTCCAAAATTCCCAGCAACAAAATTGTGTTTTAATTCTCCACATAAAGTTGAGTGAAACAACGCACCTTGGTCCAGAATTCAAGACACGATCGGATTGTCAACACTCAAAATTAAGACATCATAGACAAACATCTCTTCAAATGTCAAATTCGCAAATTTTTCGTCTTGGTTTCTATCCCGATACTAATTTTTCTTCTTTAAGGCCCTACAATCTCATTTGAGGTGGCCCTTCTTTTGCAATTCCAGCAAATTATGTCACCACGAGATCTCAATTTTCTGCTCCCTCTAGACTTCAATTTACCATGGTTCTGGTGTCGACCTTTTTTATTGCTTCTCACTCTACCTTAAGCACTCAGGGTAGTGCCCAAAGATTCACCCAATTCTCTTTGCAAATATCCTCTCTAGGGATCAAATCTCGGATCTCCTCAAATTTCAACTTCTTCTGAACAAACGAAATTGCACTCCAACTTTTAGGTAGAGAAAATAGCAAAATCAAAGCGTTTACTTCGTCATTGAATTTGATTTCCATCGAACTCAATTAAGTCGTGATCACGTTGAATTCTTTGATGTGTCATAGAAGCACCTTCGTCTATTTTTCATATTGAACAGACTAATGCATCAGATATGCATAGTTTGACATAGAGGGCTTCTCATACATGTTGAGTAAAGCCCTCATCAAATTCATCGGTGTCTTCTTGTTAGCAATGTTGAAGGAAAAATTTCGCGCTAATGTTAGACAAATCACATCTAAGGCCAGCCAATCTAATAATTACTAGTCTTTTTTCTCAATCAATTTGTACTTTTCTCCTGATAGAAACTGATGCAGTTTCTTCTAATAAAGCAAAACCTCAATCTATATCTTCCAGAAACCAAAGTCCTTAATGTTGAACCGATCAATCCTCACCTTCCCCTTGTCCATCTTTGTCGCTCCCACTATTTTGGCGAATGTGGCTCTTATATCAGTTATTAGGAATGTGATTGGAGAAGAAGACACGCGAATAGTCACGTACAATATCAAAGTGCCACACTAGGCAATCTATTCACTATCAGTATCAGTATCGAGTTACAATTACAAGAGTGATTGCTTCGAAATATAGCAGGAGTCTAGAGTATACAAAGATACGTTCGATTACATGTATACTCTTAACAGTAAATTCCTCCATTAGACTCCGCCACTCCATCAGCATGTGGGCTTAGGTTTAAAACGACTACAATGCCTTTTGGAAAGGCGCGAAAAGCGCACCTAACAAGCACATGACCGGCTGTAATTTTTACTGGTGGTGATGCTCATGGGGTTCATTGGAACAACGAAGTTGTCACGACACTTTGAAAAAAAATATACTCAGTGTAAATTTTTGAGAAATTGGCACCACTTCAGGTGGAATGTTGGAATTTTCCATAAAGTAAATGAAAGTGCATAGTAATATGCAGCACGCCAGCTTTGTAAGTGGATATACGTTGGAAAGTCCAGGCCCAAGTTTGCCGGTCGTCAACCGGTCCAAACTCCAAATTGAGGACATAGTTTCTCTTGGAATGGATAGGTTTGGTAACATAACTATACCCAACTTGGCTTGGCCCGGCCATTTGAGCAGTAGGGCCATCTATACCTTGAACTCAACACTTGGAAAGGTGATGAGAAACAAGGTGGATTACAGCATCTATGTCACTATGTGGCTCTTCAAAGCCAAGTCTTGCAAATGAAATACAAGAAGGGAACAAAGTCGCATCAAATAGACAAATTAGATATGACTTCGAGGATAAATGCCATTAAGGGGAACCATGTGAGACTCCCATGGAACCTATCATTTTGAATGATCTAAATTTGATTTAGTACATATGCCGACTCATATGATACTTTTTCTATTAAGAGGGCACACTTCGTTTTGATCCTCGAATCTATCTCTGATACCATAATAATTTGACAGTATGTTTTTCCTAAGAAATTGTTTTGATACGCATCTCGTATTAGTAATATTGGATCCTTCTTAAAGAGTGTATCTATGATACCACTTTTAAGTCCTTAGTGGCAGCATTTAGTCCCTAACTATATCATTTTCGGTGTGACTGTGGTGTCACTCTGGACCGTGTGCAATCTGATCAAGATACACACAATGTAACTGAAATCACAATGTAATCACACATACAACACAATTAGTCCGAAAGTAACCCAAGATTACAAACATTGCAATAATGAAACAAATTTCTCAATAAGATAAAAACAGTCCTTTGCAATGACATTCTTAATCACTTAGGTGACAAACCAGCCAATCTTTAAGTTCTTAACAGCTGCTATTTCAGGCATAACTTTATGAATCCCAAAGCCCCAGAGGTCCTTTGTCTCCCGTCTATTAACAACACTGAAAAGAAGAGTTCATAAAGAAGAATCACACTAACAAATATACTGTTACATACAGTCTATATCCATGAAAAAAGGTACAGCAAAAAGATGTCATCAGCTCTGAATCTCTGATGCTGTTGCAAGTCCTTCAATGGATCGATTCGATGGAATACTAGGCGGTGGTTGCTTTGTCACGGCGACCAGAATGTCTGCGCAACCCACCACCCCGACTAGTATGTCTTCGCTCTCAGACTCAGTCACCCATACATGAGTGGCCCTGTGAGACAACATCTGAGCCATTACTGCAGCTAATGAACTTGTGACCTTACATGTCAAGGGCGCACTTCTTCCCCTGTACATGCTCCTACTAGCGCCAAAACTCGGGCTTGTTGGGTTGCTGAAGAACCCGATGCTCCTACTGCTGAACTTCCTCAGCCGGTTTGACCCAACTCCATTGGCCATACCGTTACTGGGTCCAACTTTTGAGTTGTTGGCTTGAATTTCAGGCAGTGACCTCGGAGTCATGTTATCTTCGACCCCCATCACAAACTGACCAGCAGAGAGATTGGCTAAAGCCCAGGCTGCAGCAACATAGTCACATTTCCACAGTCTGGAGGCTGAAATCTCACCAATTATCTTGTGTTCACCATCTGGTGAATTCTCCACGACAGCAAGCGCTCTGGGGTCTTGAGGTCGCTTCCCTGTCACTTCGATGGCAGGTGAAGAGGCATCCACAGAACTGTAGTTAGGATTGACAGCTCCAAGGGATGAGATGGAGGAAAGAGGCAATGGCGCAAGTGCACCTAGGCAACCAATGAGGAATCTGAGGATGTCTTCTCTGGAAAGGCAACAAAACTTGTCACGGACAAAGGTGGTGGAAGACGAGGAAGGGCGGTTGGTATTGACAGCAAGATTGTTGCTGCTGTTGTTCTTAAGCCACTTGCCGTTGTACAAAATTGAGAATCTTTTGCTCATGCCTCTCCACACAGTGCTCTTCGGGACAAGAAGACGCTTCACTCCCTGCTTCATCATCTCCAGTGCGTCTATCAGTCTTCCACCCAAAAGAACAAAAGTCAAGAAATTCCTCAACGGAATAGGCTACCCCACCACCGACGACTATTACATATCAAGATTGCATATGAAGTAGTAAGCAACTGATCACTCAAAAAGGGTTACTTCATGCTCTCAAGATTGAACCAGATGACTCCTCAAGTATAGTAAAGATCTACCGTGATGAGGGTAATCACTGGGAATACATGCAAGTCCTCATCAATGAACAAAAGTTCTCTTTTCCTCCATCCTTTTCCACATGCATAACAATAATCGAAACTACATTATGTTGTTCTCCCAAACAGGTCAAAACTCAGAACCATTAAAAGGAAGAGATCTCTTATTGAAATTAGCTCCAATGACAACAGTTCTTCCCTCAGGGGTAAGAATTAATAAACTTAATGGCACACTAGGGGTGAATTTTTTTTCATTTTTGGTTGGGAGGGGGCTCTTTTATCATGAAGTTAGCCCAGCCTGGACATCTCAAGCCCAGTCACAAGCCTGATCCCCAACAGAACAGATTTAGCCCGCCCTACATATTTCTGGGCCTCTTCACTTAGTGCCAGGCTAGGCCTGAAATGGGGAAAATCACGAAGTAGTCAACTGGATGACCTATTCTCCTAATGGGCTATAAGAAATACTGTGACAAGCACCCACAATATCTACCTTGAGAGCCTGAAAACCAAGTTGCCTCCGGAGCTATTCACTCTTTATCTAGTACTATATCCTCCAAAATTGTTCTTTACAAGTTTTACCCATATCATCTTAGGCTTACCAAAACGCTAACTACTTTTGGACGATGTACAACTGCATCTCCATAAGCCAGCACCAATAAGCATTTGTCCCATCTTTTCCTCATGCTCACACCCACAAGCAACACAGTCATCTAGTCGCATGATACATTCCTTTTATCCACATATTAATGTAGAACAACCAAAGATCATGCTCCCAAAAACATAATGGTTCCTCAATTATCCTGTGGACCATTCTCATTAGTTTAAGGCATCTTAACATTAAAAAAACTTTAATCTCAATTCACACTTCTCAATATTACGCCAAACATCACCATCTCACGGTACGAAGAGGGCACATTTTTATCAGGTATAACTAGTCAAATTAACTAGGAGATGAGACTTTTCTTTTGAAGAAGTTCAAATCAAAGATCTCAGGAAGCTGAATGCTGGCCAAAGGGCTTCGACACATAATGCACTCATTCTAGAGTGTGTTGTTCATAAGCTAATGCAACAAAACCAGCTAGATTCTCACACTAATAAAGAGCAACAAGGAGAACATCAAAGCACACAAATTCCCTTGATGCTTGCCACCATCATTAAGGATATAGAAAATATAAAAACAAATTGAAAGATCAGCCCTACCTATCTGTAAAACAAACTAACAATGCATAACATAACATGATTAAACCAATCACTACGACTATCCAGGAAAAACACGAGGCTAGTGAGCCAAAAGGAGATCTAACCTTGTTCCAGGATCAACCAATCTCAGCAAAGAACTATTGGCAACAACAACCTCCGACACAGGGGTCTTCATGGCTCTCTCCTGATCTTGCAAACACTCATTCCTCGCCAAAAAAGTGACGATATCAAGAGAATCCAAGATACCCACAAACCTCTGCTGCCTCATCTCGGCGCTCTCAACCACACTTCCGGGCAACAATCTCCTCTTCCACACTGGTATCCCTCCTTCTGTCGACTCTCCAATTGCTGCTATCGCCGACTCGACCGTGTCCGTCTCGACGAACTCCACCAGCTCAGGCTTCCCCACGGTCAAATCACCAACCACATGGTATATAAACACCGAGGCCATCCCTATCGATCAATCTAAAACACAGGCAAATTCACCCAATTTCCTCAGTCCCATCCCGAACCACACAAATTTAACAAACACCCACAAACGGCACACGAACACCCAGATGCAATTTCCGATCTTTTTCCCCTAAAATGAAGAAACACAGAACATCCCTGAAAAAAAACTCAACAGAGTCGCACCGTGGAAAACCCACAGGACCTACCTCAGCGGAATCAAACCAGCGGGGAGTTAACGGATCGGCGAGACGTACGGACCGCGGAGCCGAAAGATTCGAACTTTACCGGATCAAAGCTTCCCGCGTTTTCTGGGTCGCCCAAGAAATCGGGGGAAACGAGCGCTTTTCCCCAAAGCGGGGCCCCCCGACACCCCCGGAGGAATGGGATCGAATCAAGAACAACCCACTCGAGGGAATGGCCAGCTGGTACCGGGAGAACCGGCGAGACAGCGCGAGTTATAAAAGGGAGTGGAGGAGGATGAGGAGGAGATTAATGCCGGTGATGGGCAGGATGGGATCGATCAGGAGGAGGAGACACGGTTTGGCCATTGGAGGAGGGAGGAGCGAAGGCCCATCACCCGGGTCGACACGGGGCTTTTCTTGCCGCGGCGGCGGCGGCGGAGGGGGATCGAATCAGCGTCGGCCCGCTAACGTTCTTGCGTACCTTGACATGGAAGGGAGAGTAGAGGAGAGGGAAGCACCGTCAAAGTTGATGGCTGCGAGAGCTAGAGCGACAGAGAGAGAGATTGTGGAGGAGACTGGAAGACTGGGAGACATCAATCAATGCATCAATGCTCAGACACGTGCGCCTTTGGAGGTTGGTTTTTTTTTCTTCGATTGATACCATGAAAAACCCTAAGATGATACGGACGTAATAATTCTACCGTCCGTTAATTTTCGTTTTATCCAATTTCATTTGCTGTAATTTTTTTTGAAATATCTCAAGTAATTTATTTGTGACAAAAGCCATTTTTCCGTTGCTACAGTATTGCTACAACACTGATATAGCGGTGAACAGTGATGAACAGTGCATTACTACAGTATTTTGCTATAGTACTTTTTGGATGACACGTGGCAGTTGACGGGGATGTACCAGTTTGGGGTTTCACTCTTCATTTGTCACAGGTGTACCAGTTTGTGATTTTTCATTATATTAATTCAATTTAACGAATGGTAAATTTGTCATAAATATACAAGTTTAGAGTTTTTTATGGTCAAAAAATTAGTTTACGGTAATTGTCATATATGTACCAGTTTGGAGGTTTTGGTGGTCAAAAAATTAATTCAAAATAAATTTATCATGCATATATCAGTTTTAAGTTTTTCGTGGTATTAACCAATTGCGTTGGTTTGTCTGAAGAAGGAATGGCAATCCATTTAAAAAAGAATTTTTAAAGCGCATACCTAACTTCTCATGAGCTTTCTTCCTTCGCATTTTGAAACATTAAAAAATAATTCTTGAATTCTTGAAAAATCATCAACAACAAGAAATTTTCTATTTAATAGCACATCTCGATATCTGGACATTTTCATTAATATATTTCAAGCTTTTCGTCAAAGAATCGTAGTGTGATTGCCTTCGCTCTATAAATATTTTTAAGCGAAATTACCATCCGGACCCTCGGCTTATTGTATGCTAAGTACTAAGTATTTTGTCCACCGTTGCCTATGAATCTGGCTTACCCAAAGATTTTCAAGAAGTACAAGGTGGCCCCACCATCCTATTGATGTGTTACCAACATATTCAAATGTAGTAACTACACACATCTATACCTCACTAAAATTAAACGTGGAAGATGTCTATATCTGTAACTCACTAATCAATGGATTGAGTTCCAGCTAAAGATAGAGCAAAACATAACCCGTTCCTAAATGTCTTTGTACTATAACATATGATTAACGGTTGTCCTCATAATTTTTTTATCTTTTGTCTCCAATATTTCGCTTTTCACCCAACTTACTCTATAAATTATAATGTATGCTAGTAATAAGCATTTAATAACATTATTCGCATAAATGAGAGTCAGTGTTAAGAGAAGAAAGAAATTACCGCCACCCCACTTCCATGGGGAAGGCCGGCAATTTTGTTGAGGTCTTGGTGAGGGTGGTCGGGCCTCACTAGTGATCGTGCGAGAGCCACAGGCCATCACAATTAGCAAGAGCCCTTATGCACTGCTTGTGTCATCGCTTGCCAATGAGGGTCGATCGACTCTCATGAGGGTCAACTCACCCTGGCTCAATGGTGGCACATGGTTGTGCCACCACCAAGCGCAAGGGCTCTTGCCCCTCACCCAGATCTAAATGAGGGCAAACAAGCCCTCATATGCTCACTCACGATGAGGGCCAGCCGCCCTCACAACGCTAGTGGGGTGGCGGCACTATCCCCATTCTCAATGTGACTATACAAATCAATGGCCTGCTAATAAAAATTTGGGTTGACCGGCTTGGATTGTCATGTGAGCTAATAGGATCAAATTGTTTCTAATCAAATAGGACATGGACTAATTTGACAAAAAAAATTAATGTCCAAATTGAACATTGGTTATGTTTATTTTTGTTTTCATTTACAAACAATACAATCATTTTATTTGTTTTAGTTTAGTTAAATGTTTCTTAATTAAAAGCGCGATTAATAAATGTTTATTTAATATAATTTTCATTAAAAATAATATTTATCATGTCCAAGTGCTAATTATACTATTTTTTATTTTATCATACCATGATACCTTTTGCTCATAAACTAGATATTTAAACTAAATATCAACTAATCAAAATAAACAACAGAAATACATTTCAAAACCAATACTTAAATATAAAAAGAAAGTGTGAGGAATGCATAATACATTATTCATCATGTACATGTTTTAGACATTATAAAAAGGAGCAAATTAAATGAAGTACTACAATCGTTGTGCATTTTAGACCTACACGTATTAGATACTAGATGAATTCATATCCTTTGGTAATAAACTTATCAATCACAAGACGAGCTTCAAATTAAAAAGGGATGATAACACACAGGAACCCTAACTTTGGCCCAGTGTACAATATAATCATTGAATTTTAAATTTGTTCAATGTGGTCCATGAACTTTAGTTCAATGTGCAATATCATCCCTAAATTTTTAATTTGCTCAATATAATTCCTGGATTTTTAGTAAATGTTCAATTTAGTCCCTAGACTGTATAAAAATTTTCAATGTTATCCTTCCATTAATTCAAGTTTAGGGAGGACCTTGAACATTTTCATACAGTTTATGACTAAATTAAACATGTGCCAAAAGTTCATGGACCACATTGAACAAATGAAAAGTCCAAAGATGACATTGCACATTGGACTAAAGTTTTGAGACCACATTGAACAAATTTAATGTTCAGAGGTCACATTACACATTTGGCTAAAGTTTAGGGACCATTCATGTTATTTACCTAATTAAAAATAAAAGGAACTTCTAGACAAGCTATGAGAAATCTCGATCAACACGTGAAGAAGAACGAAAATGCGTATATAGAAGAGATTTGCAGTTTTTTGGCGTCAAAATTTGCCCTAAGTTAATCTAGAATTATATTTTTGGCGTCTAAAATTAATATAGAGACAAAATCGCTTTTCCGAATTTAAAACACAAATATATTTTGTTCTTTCAAGATAGTAGATTATGCTGGCTTTTGTTTCTTTTGAAATAACCGACTCTATCCTTAACCGTCTAAATAGCATTTTGACGTGAAAAACTGTTTAGTTTTGCTTTCAAAAACACCCTCTATGGTTTCAAAAATCAATTTTGACATTGCCCCTAAAACTCAGGTTTCTTCCTGATTGATCCTGGCTCAAGTTGTAGCTGGTGTACACCACATTAATGTAACCACTAAGCCCACCAAAACCCATCTGCAGAAAGACAACCACCAGTAAAACTAGCATCCTAAAGCTGACTTCTAGATCAACAAACATGGCCATCTGAACTAGTGCATCATCAACAACTTATCATACGAAGCTAATTGAAGTCCAGTAGAACCACCTAACCAAACAAGAACACGCTGATAAATATTTTTTCCTTCACATAATCACTCAAACACTAATTAGTGATTGTAGTTGCCATGGGTAGCAATCCGGTCCATGAACTTGGCCAACACCTTCGCAGACCCCTTCAACTGCTTGATGCTCCTGTTCAGCTTCAAGCGCTTCTCCGCCATCTCCGGCGTTTCCTCCATCATCCTCTTGATACCGGCCCCACTCAGCTCGCCCCAAATCTCCTTCTCCATCTCCTTGTTCACCAAGTTCTGCATGCTGAACCTCAGATGCAGTGCCACTGAGTCGACAAACCTCCTCAGCACAATCTTCCAGTACGGGGTCATCCTCATCTTCAGATCAAACGCCTGCTGAATCAGCTTCTGGTTGCGAAGCCACAGATGAGTCACGTTGACTAACCCGATCCCCTGGAGGTCAATGACGATCTTGCTTTTATAATTGTTAACGAACATGTCCTGCTGGGTCATCAACTTGTTCCGCTCCAACAGGTACTCAGGGTTGCAAGTGTAGTCAGTGAGCTTCTCCATTTCAACAATCTCTGTCATCCTATCAATCGTCTTCTCCTTCATCTTGTTGATCAGATTGAACGCTGCTCTTTTCGTCGACGACTGCAGCTGAGGATACTTCTCTGAGTGTTGCATCAACGACCGAATCACAACTCCCTCAATGTAGTCCCAAACGCGAACCACAAAACTCGGCAGCTTGCTCGATATCCCCTTCACCTTCCGCTGCAAAAGGGTGGGAAAGGCGGTGTGAGGGAGGACGTCTGGGAGGCCGATCCCTTTGACCTCTTCCAAGATCTCCATTTCCTCCAACAAGAAGTTACTCTGCAGGTTGTTCTCGGTGCAGTTTTGGAGCTCATCGTAGTATTGGTTCAGCATCTCTACCAGCCTGGCAGTGCAGTGCATGTCCTTCTCGTCCAGGTACTCGTCTAACTCGCCTCTCAGCAAGACTTTCCTCAGCGACTCCTTCGCCGACCCCATCATCTCCATGAAGGCCATCATGGCATCCTCGACCGACGACAGATTCTTGGGCATCCTCTTAAGCTCCGCGACGTTTGCGTCCCGCTTGTCATCTATCTTCATGACGATCTCGGGCAAATACTTGGCCACGATGGTGGCTTGAATCTGCGTCAGCTTTTGTGCCAAGACAGGCACACCAACGATGGACTTGTCAATCTTGCACAGCAGAGGATGCGTGTCGAACAGCTTCGCCTCTTCCAGCCACGCTTCTTCATAGGTCTCGTCACCAATCCTGTTCCTCACACACACACAACCAAGCCCTATATTGACATCATCAGCCCCCACCTTCTCCAACAAGCCCTCCGGAGCTTTATCAGCCTTTGTGACGACGGCTAGAGTCCTCTTGCCGGTCTTGTCCACCATCTGCAACACAAAAACGAATAATCGTATAGACTTATTTCCTAGAGTAAAATAAATCATTCTAGGATTCAATTGATATGGGAGCCAAGCGTGTCTAGAGTGTACTTACTTGCGACATCCTTATGGACTCGCAAGTGGAGAAGTCAACGGTCGCGGACAAGACATTGAGGATGATGCTCTCGTCGGGCCTTATGTAATCCATGATCATCTCCGAGATCTGCTCGTAGATGTTCTCGGGCTGGCCGTGCACGGGCACTCTCGTGATTCCAGGCAAGTCGACCATGGTCAAGTCCGGGACGCCATATTTCTTGATGACCAGAGTCAGCGGCGTGTTCGAGACACCCTTCCCTTGACCCGCGATCTCGTCGGTGGCATCATTAATGGCCTTGGAGATGCTGTCCTCGTCGGTGGGGACGACTTTGCCGTTGTAGTAGAGGTAGGGCTCGGGGCGATCGGCTTGAGGGTCGTCTTGTAGTTGCATGATGAGAGGGACGCGCGTGCAAATGCCCTGCCCTCGCGGCAGGTTGATGCCGGCGAGGGACTCGAGGACACTCGACTTGCCCGAGGACTTGTCACCAACGACGACGATGGTGGGGAGATGGATGCCCTCCTCCATGACCCCGAGGTTTCGCAGCCTGTCAATAGCATTGAGCAAGGGGCGGATCTGGTCGCTGTAGGAGGCGGCGAGTGGCGGCACATGGGCAAACAACAGGGGTTCGAGTTCGGGTTCGGGTTCACTGCCGACAAAAGCCCGGTCGTCACCCATCGTTCGCATCCTCTCGAAATTTCCTTTTGCTTTGGCTCGGATGTGATGGAGAAAATATTATGGATTCATTATGGAGAGACTAGAGTTCTATCGTGCGTTGGACAACGAGATAACTTCATGGAGGGGGTTGGTGTTGTGGATGGGACAAAAGCTAGAAACTTAATGTGGAACTTCAACTACAGTTGCCAAATAACCTCAAAGGTAAGAACTTTAACTTCAGTTGCCAAATAATCTCGTAATGCTCCAGCTTTTAAACCATACAGAACTTAAACCTTAAGAAACTGAATCAGTGACTTTTGGGTCTGGAGTCCTTACCTATAATTTGTGTTTTGAGGCATGGCCATTTCCTCTTCATTGTTTGCATCAAGAGCCTCCTTTTTGTTTTCTCAAGATTGTGCTTCTTGCTTCTTAATGGAGGTGATTAGAATTGGGGCGTGGTTATTAATAGTATTCATGGTGGCCGAGTGTAGGGCTCTAGTGACGGCAGCAGCAGAGTCTAGTGGTGGCAATGGCCGTGGTAGCACCGAGTTTGGCGGCGATGGCGTGGAGTTGATGGTGGTTGTGGGGTGGTGTTCAATTCTAGCACCGGCGGTAGGGGTAGCCACCAAGTTATATGCAAAGCACAATTGGCCAAGGACCAATTATTTTTTAAAAATTAATTTACCTTTTTATAAGAAAAACTTCATATGGTGATTTGAAATATTAAAAATAATGGAGAAAACTCAAATTATGGAGGAGGTGGAGAAAATATACGTGAAAAAACATGAGTTCCAGAAAGAATATGTGGAGAAATGATTTGGAAGTATATATATAGAGGGAGAATATGAATTGAGGGTGGACAAAAGGTGAAGACTTGTTTAATGGATTTGAGTGAAAAGATTAAAAAAAGATTGAAAGGAAAGAACATTTTTTTTGTCAGAAGAGAAAAGTAAAGGAAAGAACATTGACCAAGACGTTTCTTTACCCCCCACCCCTCCCCCACCAATGATGGAGTTGTGTGTGGACGGGTCGTTGGTTGGAGAAAAGGTACAATTATTGTCCTCCCATTTCCACACCACCTTTTCCAAGGTCTTCCAAACATCGGCTTAAGGGCAAGCTCGAAGTAAAAAATGAGTCAATAAGAAATAAACAGGTAATTTGAGTTGGATTATTTTCATTTCGATCCAAATCCAATCCGATTTACCAATTTGATGGGTCTAAAATTTCTATGCTGCATTTACCTGCAAAATTTGTGCACGTATGAATGGAAAACTGAAAACGAAATGACTAATGTTTATTAGGGGGTGTTTTTTTCTCCATCTTTGTGATACAAATAATCTATTGTAATACAATATCAGAATTGGTCTCTCGCAGGTTGCCCTTCCTCGTCGTCGACGAAATGATTTCATCTACAATATTTATGAAGATTGTGTTCAATTTCCTCTATTTTTTCATTCCATTTGATTTATTTTTTGTCATGTAAAATTAGTTACCTACTTTAAGAAAAATAAAAAATTACATTCACGGAAAATGAATGATTTAAAAAATATTTTCCTTAAAGGATTGATACCACGAAAAACCTCAAACTAACTTAGGATAAATTTATCCCAAACTGATTTTTTAGTTACCAAAAACCTCAAACTCGTACACATGTGATAAATTTACTTGAAATTGGATCACTAAAAACCTCAAACCGGTATACTTGTAACAAATTTGCCTCAAATTCATATGGATTTCCACGTGGACTTGCCATGTCAATCAAGTTATTGTTATATGTCATTCAGTTCAGCAATTTCACTGTAAAATTTGACGGAAGCTAATAGAGCGTAAATATATTATAAGTGTACCGGTTTTGGAGGTTTTTTGTGACTTAGAAATTAATTTTTAGTAAATTACTCATATGTGTATCAATTTAGAGTTTTTCATGGTATTAACATTTCCTGAAATTGATTGCCCATATCACTTATAATCATAAAAAAATTATTTACATAGACATAAATTATTATCGATAATAAAATTATATTTCGTTAATTAATTATTATAAACGATACAATTCATAATTTTTTATAAAATATTTTTTAAAATTACTTATTTTTGCTAAAATAAATGAAGCCTAAATTAATTATATTCATCATTTCGACGGGTTCTCTGCTCTGCCCGGGGATTGGAATGGTGCGACCGTACATTTTTCTCTTTGCCGTCCACGAGGTCGTACTATGGGACTTTAAAAAAGCAGGGAGTTTCAAAATTTTCACTTTGGCTTTCGCTAATGCGCCTTTCCTCGGACACTTTTTGTTCTTTTTTTTTAACCTTTTTTTATGTGGCCCTTTGGCACTTTCGGCTGTAGAAAAAAAAAAGGATAAAATATTATTGTTTTAAATGTATTAACTCGATATAGAATAATGAAAAATTAAGAAAACAAGAAATAATTAGAACCAATAACGATTTGGGTCGGTTTCTATGCTTGTTAGATTTCAAGAACATCGCCTAAATGCGGAAATTTGTCACTTGAGATCGAGTTGGCTATGCATTGTAATTGAATCCATGTCTCTGTACGGACTAAGCATAAGTCGCTGATTCGTATTTTGGTCGCCCACCTGCTTTAGAATTATCATGATATTTTAGTCTCCCGATTGGTGGGTTATAAACATATGTAGATATAGGCATCAGTCATCTTACCTATGCTTTATTTAAAATGGATGTGAGAGATGTTTATATATGTAACTCACCAATCAAGGAATTCCTATCCAACCAAAAATAGAGCAAGACATGGCCTGTTCCACAATGTCGTTGTACTATAAAATATAGTCAACATGGTCCTCATAATATTTTATCATTTGTCTCCGGTATTTCGCTTTTGACCCAACTTTTTTGGTAAATGATAAATGACGACACTAATGATCACTCACTAATATTATTAGCATAAAATGAAAGTATGCGACTAGAGTAGAAAGAGATCGCCACCGCCCCACTTGCGCAACGAGGACTGGCAATCCTTGTCAAGGTCTCGATGAGGGTGGTCAAGCATCACCAGTGGCCACGCGAGAGCCACGGGCCCTCACAGTGAGCAAGAACCCTCATGCGATGCTGTTACCATCGCTCGCCAACAAGGGTTGCTTGGTTCTTGTAAGGATGGTCCAATTGACCCTGGTTTGGTGGTGGCAAGTGGTCATGCCACCACCAAGTGCAAGGGCTCTTGCCCCTCACACAAATTTGGACAAGGACTAAATTGTTTCTAATCAAATAGGATCAACTAGGTCGGTGGAATAGCCTATATGCTCGGCTGACTAGTAAATAGCTTTTCATATAGAAAAATGAGTACAAATAAGTTTACTAAGAAATTTTTTTTTGAATAATCAAAGAATACAAGCGGAGAGGGCCAACTATTTAAAAGCTTATCAAACACTGTTATAAGCCTTATGAACCGGTTAAGTCCAGATATTTTTTGAGGCAAAATTATCCAAAAAAATTTAAACCTATTGTATGGTGGCCAATTCAATCCTAAATATTTTAATTGTGCCAATTTAGTGCTAAATCTTTTGACAATTTGTCAATTCAGTCCCAAACTTTTTAATTGTGCTGATTTAATTCTAAACATTTTGAGGTTTTGTTAAGTTAGTCCTAAACGTTTTAACAAATTGTCAATTGTCAATATAGTTTTTCCGGTTAATTTTGACCAAAAATCTCTGATGTGATAGTCCAGTTAGCATCAATCATCCTACATAGCGCGATTGGTGCTAACCTTGGACAATTTTTATAATTTAAAAAAAATCATTTTTTTTTATATTTTGAAAATTTTCTTTTCTTTTCTTTTCTTTCTTTTTTCTTTTCTCTTCAATGTGCCAGCAGTGTTGGCGACCTCCGCTGGCCCTTGGACAAGCGCCGCAAAGCCCTTGCAGGCCGTGGGCAAGTGTTGTAGCCCTTGCCAAGCACTGCGAGGGTGGGTAAGGGCATCGTGGCCTTCGCCCAAGCCCTTTCCGGCCACAATGAGGGCAGGTGAGGGCTTGGCGAGGCTCGCGACACCCTCGCTAGCCACAATGAGGGCTCGCGAATCATCCAAATCCAGCGAGGGCCGCGACCCTAACCCAAGGGCCGACGGCCCCACTGGAACAATGAAGAAGAAAAGAAATAAAAATCAATAAAAAAATTCTGAAACTTTTTTTAAAAATTGTCCACACTAGCGTTGGCCGCACCAGTTAGGACGGCCAACACTGACTGGACCGCAACGTTAGCGATTTCAGATCAAAATTTGCCGGAAGGACTATATTGGCAATTCGTTAAAAGGTTAAGGACTAAATTAACAAATTGTCAAAATATTTAGGACTAAATTAGTACAATTGAAAGGTTTAGGACTAAATTGGCCCCCGTATAAAAAGTTTAGGACTTTTTGGATAATTTTCCCTATTTTTGGACTATGCAAGTAATGCTGACTCAGAGAAATATATACGCATTTGATAAGATTTTGAACAAATGACCTTCAGTTTCCGAGTTGGAAATCTCCTAACCTTCCGCTCATGAGCAATTTCGTCACTATGATTTGTAAATTTCCATTTTAGAAATGTATTACTCCACATTTTCTTAGATAGTAACTTGTCCATTTATTGGTAACTTCTTGTTTGAGATATGTGATTTTGACTTGTAAAATTTTCAATCTGACTAGAAGTTAGCACCATCCCCACTAGGGGTGATTAGTTCCAGACTTGAAACCTGAAACCTGAAGCCAATTCTGTTATGACCAATTCCTAATTTTTGGAACCTGGAACCTATCCTCTTTGCCCTGGACCCTATTTTGGAACCTAACCTGTTTTCTCGGTCTAGTTCCAAGGTCTACCGGAGAACCCTTTTTTTGGTTCCTTTTTCTGATTTCATTTTTTCTAGGTAGCAAACAAGAAAACTTATAACTTAAATCAAAGGTTATAAGTTTGATTATGCAAACAATCTTAAGTATTCATACAAAAGCAGATTATCTTAGTCCCAATAAATTAATGGACGTGATAAAACAGCATAGGTTCTAGTTGGATATATAGTTTCTTCGTTACAAAAAAAATTTTAAAAAAAGGAAATTGCTTCCTATAATGCTTACAAGCCCTTGAGTTAGACTATCCGCAAATAATGATCACCTCCCTCATCCTTCTTGATATAATGCTTTGAATTCTAGCCATATAAAATTGCAAATGGACCTCCATATATAATCGGTCCGGTTCTCGGGTGGGTTTTCACTTGGAACTGAAAACTAGATCGGTTCTAACCGGTTCCCAAAAAATGGAACCGGGTCCCAAACCAGTTCAAACGAGAACCGATTCCCAGACCTGTTTTTCAGGTGGGCCGGTCCGATTTCCGAGTAAACCCAGTCCAGTTGCACACCCCTAATCCACACATAGATGGCGACATCCATAATATAGTAAGTTGAACATATGAGAGTGACTAGTAGTTTTTTTGACATGTTTAGTGTCTTTTGACGCGAAGTAGTATTCTTATTAAGTTATCCATGTTAAAATAGATCAACACATTGAAAAATAATTACAAAGAATCGATACTTGTACGTGGGCGTATTCATTTTTTTAACAATTGTCATAA